CCCCCCCCCCCCGGAAAACCCGCCGGCCCAGCCCAGGCTGCCTGACACATTTCCTTTCCATCGCTGGAAACTTGGAGCCTGCAGCCGGGCACAGCTGCAACCGCCTCTCCGCCCCGACAGCGCAGGCCCCAGCCCGGGCATGCGCCGCGGGACACGGCCCTCCCTTGCTCCGCCGGCGTGGGGGCTGGCCTCCTGCCACAGCCCTCCCCAGAAAGCCGGTGCCCCACAGGGTGGCCGGGGGCCTCGGGAGGCGGGCCGAGCCCCTCCCTCCCCAGGACAGGCCTCCTGCTTCTCGGAAGACCCCCAGGGACCGGTGGGGAGGCCCAGAGCTCCCGCGCCCAGCGGGCATCTTCCAGGGACAGCCCTCGCCCCTCTGCCCCGGCGGCGGGACGCAGCGCAGCCCACCCAGGCAGCCCACGGAGAGTGGCTGGCAGCCCTACAGCCATCGCCATGGCGAGGAAGGCAGGATGCCCAGGCCCACGGCAGGCGGGGGCGGGACGCCGACGCCGCCCTCCTCCCCATGGTCCCGGGGCCCCCAGCAGGGAACAACCCGCTCGAGAAGGGCCTTGCGCTTGCCTGGCCACCGGGGGGACCCCCGAGGAGCCCACCGGCTGCCCCTGCCCAGCAGCAAAGATACCTTCAGCGGACCGGCCCCCCTTCGCCCGGCGGCCCCGGCGTCGCCTCTTCCGGGACTCTCCCCCAGAGGGGTCTCCCCCGCCAGCAGGCTCCATGGGGCAGCCCCGCCGCCGCTGACCTTGGCGGGCAGAAAGACAAGACAAGGCGAGGCGAGGCGAGGCGCAGCGGGCTAAGGATAGACGCGCGACAGCTGTTGCCCACCTGTCAAAGCTGCCCCCCTCAGAGGCACGCCAGGCCTTGGGCAGCCGGCCCTCCACACTGGGGAGCCCCCCAACCCGACCACGTGGCAGAGCGGGCAGGGGCACATGGGCCGCCCACGCCTTGCCCACCACTCTGTGGCCAAGGCCTCTGGCCGTGACGGCAGCACCCAAGAGCGGGTGCCCGAGCGAATGGGCGGGCGGGCGGGCGGCCCAAGAGCCCCACGATCCCTGGGCTGAGGGGCCCGCGCGGCAACGCCGACCGAGGCGGGCAGGCCCCTCACCCTGAACTGGGGCACCCGCATGGCCACACCTGACAAAAGCCCGGGCTCAGACTCAGGAGGCCGTCAGCGGAACAGCCCCGCAGCCGTCACCCCGGCTCGGCCGGGCACTGGGGATGGGGGCCGCTCCTCCGCGGGGCAGCCTCCCCCACGCCCCCCGGCCGGGGCCTGCTTCCCTCCACCCCAAGGCAGCCCTGCCAGATCCCAGCTCTGACCTTCAGTGGGGGCGCAACCGGATGCCAGCGGCGGCACCACCTCCCTGGTGACCTGCTCCCCGGGCCCGGCGGTGGGGGGGGCGGCGGCAGCGGCAGCATCCTTCCGGCGGTAGGCCTGCCGGGAAGCCTCCTGCGGCTTGTGGGGGCAGGCCGGGGCCCCTGGCACCGTCTGCGTGCGAGGCGGGCGTGGGGCCGGCCTGGCCGGGACCAGGGGGCGGCGGACGCGCTGCAGGGTGGCGGGCACGATCTCCGGCGGCAGGCGCAGGGTCCGACGCAGGTGGGCAATCCCCTCGTCCGTCAGGAACCAGTAGCAGTGGCGCCAGGCAAAGCTCTCCCGGACCAGCCCCCGCGAGCACAGCGAGCCCAGCGCCCGCCGGACCTGCAGCTGGGAGACGCCGGGCAGCTGCGGGTGGAAGCTGTGCGGGCGCCCGTCCTTCTGCGCGACCAGCACGCCGTCCCGGAAGAGCAGCTCGTAGATGGCGCGCAGCTGCTCCAGCGGCATCAGCATGCCGGCCACCATGGCGGCCGGCCAGGGGGCGCCGCCTCTGGGGCACAGGAAAGGGGCCCTCCGGCCGGGCAACGGTAAAGGCGGGCTGAACCGGCGCCCTCCTCTCCCCTCTCCCTCTCCCTCTCCCTCTCCCTCGCAGGAGCCTCAGCCCGGCTGGCAGCGGCAGAGGAGCGCGCGGCTGCGGCTCCGACCACCCGGCTCCTCCCACAGCAGCCCGGCAGAGTGGGCGGTGGGGAGCGCCTGGCCGGCCCCCTGCCTCCGCACACGCTCCCCCTCCCCACCCGTGGGGCAGGGCACTGCCAACCCTGACTCAGCAGGCGGGGGGGCACAGCCCCCGGGGGCGCCACTGCCACGTGCCTGCCGGAGCTCCCAAAGTTTCCGGGGGGGCTTTGTGCCTCCCCGCGGCCGAGGGCAGGCGGGGCTGCTCCAGGGGAGTGGGCCGCGGGCGGTTGGGTACAGCACAGCGGCCGGCCGTAGGTAGGAGGCCGCCGGCTCCGGTCTGCCCCACATTCTCGCTCCCTGGCACAGAGCCGAGGAAAAGGCAGCCCTGCCCAGGAGGGGAAGGAATGGGCCGAGGTTAACCCTTGGCGCGCCGGCGCGCAGGCGGCAAACCCGCGGTCTCCTGCTCGAGCAGAACGTGCCCTGTTCCAAGGAGGGAAGGCCGAGGCAGGGGAAAGCTGGAGGAGCCCGCGGCAGGCGCAACAACGGTGGGCCACACACAAGCACACTTCCTCCCGGCTGCACCGGCAAAGGCCCCCTTCCCTGCAGGCGCATGAAGTGCGCTGGCTGGGGAAGCCTCCAGACCCCCAGGTGGCTCCTGCCCGCGCCTCAAGACGCCCTGCAGGCTTGGCCGGAGTGGCACTCGGGCTGCGCCGCCAAGCCCCCGTTCGTTCGGTGCTATTCCTGGTCGGGAATCTGTGGGCTATTTCCGTGGCCAGGCAGGGGCTGCAGTGCCGCCCAGGGGAATCTCCAATTATAGCAGCTGGCTTGGGATGCACGGGGCCTCCGCCCAGGGCGCCCGCTGCAGGCTGCCCGCCTCCCTTCCGGCAACCCGTGGCCCGCCAGCAAGCGCCCTGGCTGGCTGAGCCCCAAAGCGGGGGGGGGGGGGTGCCCGGCCGGCCCCCAAAAGGCCCCAAGGGCAAAGGGGGGGGGCCCCAGGGGCCCCCCCCCCCCCGGCTTTCCCCAGCCGCCTGCAGGGCTGCTAGTGATTGGGGGGCTGTGCTGCGCTCGTTTGGGGGTCTTCCGGAAAACAGCATGTCTTCCTGCAGGACGGGGCCATCTTGCAGCCCAGGCGCCGAGGGTGACCGGAGCGGGACTCGAGCGCCGCCCCCGCCGAGCCCCGGCCCTGGAGCTCATTTCCGCGGACACACAGAGACGCGCGGCCCTTCTCCGGAGCCCGAGCCGGTGCCCACCACGCCCACGCCCCAGCCCCGACACCTGCTCCCCTTCCACTGGGGGCGCCTGAGCTAAGGGCCCCCCTCTTTCCCAGGTGTTCTGCCACACCTCCTGCAGGCATGTATGTTCCTGAGCTGACAGCCAACGGCCAGCGTCAATATTTGTCCAGGACTTGCCTCGAGCGTTTCCCGCAGGCTCCTGCCCGGCCGGCCGTGGAGCCCGCTGCCCCACCCAGCACACACGGGACAGGCGGCCGCCCCTCCGGCTCCCCAGCGCCTGCTTCGGATGCACCAGGCTGCGCCCAGCGGGGGGCCGGAGACGCTGCCTCACAAGGTGCAGGTGCGGCCTTGGCTGTGGGAACAGCCCCTGGGGCTGGGTCCCCGGTCCTGCGCCGTGGGCCAGAGGCCCCAGTGGGGAAGGAGCGGGAGGGGGCAGGAACTACTGATTGGGACCTGACCGGCACGGGCTGCTCTCCCCCCTGCAGCAGCTGTTTGGGGTACCGGCCAGCTGGGGCGCACGGGATGGCCGTGGGGATGGCGACGGGGAGGTTCTCAAGGGCGGCAGACGGCACTGAGCTAAAGGCCACCCGCTGTGCAGCCCCCAGAAGCCCCAGCTCTCCCCCGCTCCCTCCCCGCCCCATGGGCAAGAGAGGTATGGCATGGGGAGGGGGCTCGGAGTCGCTCGCATCCTGCAAGAAGGGGCATTGTTCCGATGAGCTAGTCGTTAGCCAGGAACACCTCCATCCGGTCCGTCGAGGGTGGATAAGGCAAGCACAAGCACAGCGCCTGGGAAAGAAGGGCCCGTCCAGCCCTGAGGAAGGCCGGGGGACCCCCTTCCCAGAGTCCATGCTCTGACATCAGATGACAAGATGCCTGGAGAAACTCGCTGGCAGCCCCAACAGGAGGCGCCCCGGCCCACCCACATCACAGGTGTGATCACAGCGCGCACGACACCGACGCTCCAGCAGAGAGACGCGCAGTTTGCCGGCACAGAAAGCCAGAGGCGTGAGTGGGGGAGGTCTCCTTACGGCTCCGATACCACAGTCACTTGCGCGAGGAGTGCCAACAACGCCCAGCCGCTAAGTGGCCCGTGGCCCTGCAGCAGCCCTCATGATCTGCCCCTTCCAGATGTCCCGGACTTCAGCTCCTAGCCATCACAACCAGTATGGTCAATCGAATCGTCAGGGATGCTGAGAGCGGAGCCTGAGAGAGCTGGAGAGCATCAGGCCGGGGGAAGAAGCACCAGGGAAAGAGATGGGCACACAGAGAGGAGCCACCAGTGGATGGCAGCCAGTGACCAGCGGAGCCCCCCAGGCCTCAGTTCTGGGACCGACTCGGTTCAACCTTTTTATGTATGACCTGGAGGAGGGACTAGTCAGACGATACCACAGTGGCCTCGGAGGCCACAACTGGGGAGCAGGTGACCCAGATCCAGAGGGATGTGGACAGGCTGTGGGAGTGGGCAGGGGACAGCGGGATGGCGCTCAAGACAGATGAGGGCAAAGTCTTGCACTTGGGACCGAGGAATGGGTGTCACAGTTCCAGGATGGGGGGCAGGTGGCTGGAGAGCAGCGCTTGTGAAAGGGATCTCAGGGAACGTGTCAAGAGCAGGCTGAACATGAGCCAGCAGTGTGACGTGGTGGCTAAGAGGGCAAACGCCACTCTTGGTGGTATAGCTTATGGAATGGGCTTCCAGGGAGGTGTCTGAGTGAGGGTGTTCAAGGAAAGACTGGACACCCCATGCTGGGGATGACATGAGTGGAGCCGGCTGGAGCCGGGGGTCAGACTAGATGGCCCGGGAGACCCTTTCTGCCTCTATGCAGAATGCAGATGGACACGCGCACACAAAGCCACTGGAGGGGCAGCCTTCCGCTGTGATCTGTGTGCTTGGTACACACCATGGGTTAACTCGGGGTTGTTCACACCATGGCATGCCCAGTTCCAGCTGCTACAGGAACAACCTCCAATGTCTATTTGTGGGCTGTGGAGACCAGAAGCAGCTGCTTGCCACCACGGTGCCTGCACAGGTTTGGGCACCGCGACACCCGAAAGTTCGGCAAAACCCACGCTCCCCGTGGGCCCAGCCCATGCCATGCCACTGGGCCGGGCCAGCTTTTGAGCCCAGCTTGTCACCCGCATGACGCGGCAGCTGTGCCGTGGAGGGCGATTAAGCGAGTAATCCCGCCAGCAGGCAGCGGCGGAGGCCGCCCCGGCCAGGCAAAGCGGGCTGAGAACGGAGCAAATCCCACGCCAGGGATTGTTCGGAGAGGGAGTGCGGAACCCCTCCGCCTCTGCAGTGGCCTGATCCGGACCATGCTGGGGCCACATGCTCACGGATAAGCTGCAGGGAGCACTGAATGCCCCTCCCCCTCCACCGGGGGGGGGCCACCCCGGCCAAGAGCTGGGCCGGCCGTGGCTGCACACACCTTTTAGGAGGGACATCACAGAGTTTGAAAAAGTATACAAATCCCAAGGAGTGCCCTTTGGGGAGCCAGCCTGACCCTCCCAGTGGCCAGCAGCTCCGACACCGACCGACCGACACGGCGCTTGCAGCCCTGGCTCCTGGGAGCACATGACTCAGGCACTGCCTTAGATGACTCCAGCTGCGGGTCAGACAGCTTTGGGGCCGGGAGAGAGGGTCTGCCTCTGGGGAGGGTCCATGCCCCCAAGAAGCAGGTTCTCCCTGGCTCTGCCTGAAAGGGGGGGTCTGCAGCATGTGGGGGGCAGGGGTCTCCAGGGGGAGCTTCGGTGCTGTGGGGCTACATCCCAGAGTCGCCGCCTTCTGAGTTCGCTTGGCGTGTGCAAGACCTCTGCAGAGCAGCCAAGCAGCTGCTGAGTGGGTGGGGGGGCACAGAGGCCCCCCAGCAGAGACCCCCATCGAGGGCTCAGCAGCTGCCCCGGGCAGCACCCTGGCTTTGGGCAACAGACCTCCAGCAGACCCCTCCCCCTCCCCCCAGGCAGGCTCCCCCTCCCCCTGCAGCACTGAGCACAAGGCACGGTAGCTGTGGGGCCGCGGCGTGTGCCGGAGGGCCCAGGCAGCCTGGGGGCAGAGCGCCGCCACAGCTGCAGGGCCGGCCCGGCCCGGCCCGGCCCTCCAGATTCCCGCAGGAAAGGGCTGCCGGCCACCCTCCGCCTCGGCCCGGCCCGGCCCAGCACCCGCAACTGGCCATACTGGGGGCGGGGGTGGCCAGAGTGCAGGCAGCAGGCCTGCCCGGCGGGGCTCCCCAGGGCAGGTGCTGCAGTCCCGCTCCACTGCCCAGTCCGGCTGCCCATCCTGGGCACGTTTGCACACTTCCCGGCACACACCCAAATGTGCCACTGCAGCAGCCAGAGAGAGCTGCCGCGTCAGCCCAGCTGGCGGCTGAGACCACGCCAGCGGCGACCCGCTGCCCCGACCCCAGCGCTGCGGGCCTCAGGCCGGGGCCCAGCCCACACCGCAGAGCCGGGGCCCCGGACCACCCGCCCGCCCGCCCCTTCGGCGCCCCATGCAGTCAGGCACAAGGCCGCTGGCCGCAGGACCCGCGCGAATTGCCCAGGTGCGCCGGCCTCCGTCCCGGCTCCTTTGCCCAGGCCGGGAAAGGGAAGCCTCTCCCCGCACAGGAAGCT